TTTAAAAAAAAAAAAAGAAAAGAAAAAAGACATTACCTTCAGAAGAGCGATAATTAAATCAATTACTGGTTTCTCAAGAGAAATCATGAAAGCCAGAAGAAAAATGGAATACTTCAAAGTGCTAAAGGAAGGTAACTGACAATCTAGAATTCTATGCCCAGCAAAAAGTGTTCTTCAAAATTAAAAGGGAAATGAATGCATCTCTGGACATCAAGACAGAGAAGTAACGAGCGTTAAAGGAGGGACTCATGACAGCTCTTCAGGCAGCAGTAAAGTGAACCCAGAGGGAATATCAGAGGGGCAAGAAGAAAAGATTGACGAAAGGGGTAAAATATATGGATAAGTCTAAGTGAATATTGATTGTATTTATATAAAAAGAATCAGTGTTTTCTTTCAAGCCTTTTGAGAAAGTCTGAATGAAACAGTCATCCTGGCCTGGTTGGTACCTAAGACACAGATGAGTTTCTTTCACCCAGTTTTGAAATTCTGGCATCAACCATGCGAATGGGACACCCTTCAGGGGAGGAGAGCTCCAAGCAGCCAGGCTGCCGAACCTGGCGAATCCCCGATCACTGCGACCCCCCTGGGAATGGGGCCTCCATTTTCTCACAAAACAGATCGAACACTATGACTACTAGGGGATGGGGAGATGGGAAGGTATTTTGAACACATCACACATGCTCCTTCAACGTCACATTCTTGTCAATTTTTATTGCTCCTTTCTCATCTGCGACTGTAAGGTACAGACCCTCCAGAAGAAAAATAGAGTTTTGTTTTCACACCCACCCACATGCCACACTTTCTGTTCCATTCCTTTCTCAAGTTAGGGAAGTGGCAGGTTCCCCTTTTGGTCACACACATTCACAGAACCCTTGCCCGGCTCTGTGTGTGAGTGTATAAACGACCCAGAGACGTATGTAAATAAACCATGTACTGTGTAGGGGATATACATCTCTGTCAATAGCTGGAGAGACAGATGACAGGCAGACAGATGTTATGCAGCCCTCAAAATAATGACATTCCATGTCTCCCAAACTCTGCTACAATACAAAGCTTATTGGAGCATCAGTCTCCACTAGGTTACAAGTTTTAGAGGATGCTTATATTTAAAAAGTTTTGAAAAAATATATATACCAAATATTAACACTCTCCTGGTTAGGAAAACTATAAGTGGGCTGAGGAAGTTGAGGTACCAGCGGCGAGGTAAGGCCTCTTCGTCTGGGAGATGATTTTTCTGAAGTTGCAGCAGAGTGTGGTCTCACGGACCTCCAGAAAAACAGCGGGCTCGACTCTCCACCACTGAACTCTTAGGGCCCAACCCGAAAAATGAAACACTTATTTGGATTACCATCTTTCAGCAGGAGTGCGTGAGGACGGGAGAGGCTCTGAGCGAGGGAATGGTAGCCGGGCCCTGTTCCCTGCAAAGCCTCCTGTCCTCTCCAACAGAGCACAAAAGCAAGAGCTACCGGTTGAGAACAGACTGAGGACCCCCAGCCAGTCCTCCTGAGGTGGGAAGGCGAGCCTGGGCTTCCCTTCAAGAGCAGCTTCCCAGGGAAGCCGGGGAGGATGGTTTTATTTTGTAGTTAGCACATCACAGCGCTCAAAGCACCTCTAGGGAAATTTCTAATCCATGCTCAAGGGTCACCGTCTGGCAGTGCATAGGTCACCCTCCCAGGATGACTCAGAGGACAGACATCGGTCGCACTGTCTGCTTTCAGGACCGGGAACTGCAGCAGAGCCCAGGAACTGCTCCACTCCTGGCCCATCCAGGAGTCCACAGGGCCTGCTCCCGCCTCCTGCTTCTCCCTGACAGGAGGGGCGAGTAGAGCCCAGCACCAACTAGGAAACTAAGGCACCAGAAGAGCTTCTGCTGCCGGGACAGAGACATTATATTTTTATGTAATTATCACTCCTAGTCCAATGTTTTAAAAGTTGGTTGGCCAGTTCAAATTTGCACCATGCTGAAAGGCTGTCTTGGGTGGGTTTTGGTACAATTTAAGGTCTTTTTGCCACTCATAGGACTCATATTTTCAGCAGTACTATTTTCTTTTGTTTCTGGCCTGAAATGGGTTTTTACTTACATCAGAGCACGGTAAAAACTTCAGCTCAGTAGAAAGGCTATCATTTTACACAATCTGATCAGCTCAACCAGAGTCCTGTGCCGAGGTCAGCTGCAGGGACAGATGATTGTGGACAGTGTCTGGACCCCAGAGGTTGACCAGTATCCCTGGGGAGTAGTCACTATAGTAAATTGCTTTAAATAAGTTTTGTTTTTTCAACCAATTCCATCAAATGACACAAACTCAAGCTGATAAAATCTGCTGCCTCAGATCCAGTCTCCGCCTGGGCCGGAGTGGAGGCCGGAAGGCAGTGGCCCAGTCTCCAGGCTGACTCCAGCCCCCATGCAGTCTGCTGATGGCTTCATTTGCTGCTACCATGGTGGCTGCTGCTTCCACAGTGGGCTTGTGTCTACATCTTAGTGTCCTGGACAGAGGTGTTGGCCTGTGAACAGAGCAGGAAAGAATGAATTGGGAAGAGAGTAGGGAAATCCTGATGCCAGCCATCTCCCCGGGGATGCCAGGCCAGGCAACAACAGCAATGGCAGTGGTAACAGTAGGACCAATGCTATGTGCCTGGTGTCGTTTTTTACATGCATTGACTCATCTATTCTTCACAAAAGCAAGGTGACTCAGGTACTTCGATTAGCTTTGTTTTACAGATGGGCAATTAAGGCACAGAGAGGTCAAGTGACTTCCCCTAGGTCACACAGCAGTAAGTGGTGGAGTCAGGATTTAAACCCAGGGACCAGAGCTTAAGCCCTCACCTGAGAGGTGACGCTGCCTAGTCTTAGACGCCTGGCTTCCCATGTCCTCCCGGCCCTAGCTTCTCATTCCTACTGTAGTTCATCATCCTGAAACACTGATCAGAAACCTTTGTCAGCACAAAAAGGGAAAAATACAGAAAGAAAGAAAAAGACTGGCCCTGGAGGGCAAGGCCAGGATGACAGCTACTGATTCAGCACTTGTGCAAACACTGCTCCCCTGTGCTAAGAGCTGCGCTGGCCTCCTCACCACCCGTGTTCTAGCTGAGACACTGAGAGAGTTACTGACGACCCACAGTGCAAGGTGGTACGTGGCGTGGGCCATCCTCACGACTGCACTGAGAGCAAGAGGTGTGCGAGGGGCTGGAGGCGGCTGTCACCGGGCAATCAGGAAGTGCCCATGGAGGACCCAGAGCTGCCCAGAGCATCTCGGCTGGTGGTGCGGGTGAGGCTTCTGGGGAAGGGCTGGCAGGGGCGGGTGGGATGACCAAATGGTAGGTGGCAAGGCCTGGAGCCCTGGCCCTGTCATGGGGGACGGGTAAAGGCTGGGGACACTGGCAAAGGCCAGCATGCCGAGGAGCGTGAACTCAATTTTCCAATGGACATAGGAGTGTGGGCAAGGAGAGCAGACAACTGAGATGGCGTTTCTAGGTGAATTGGGTGCTAGTGTGCCAGTCGGTCTGAAGCCCAGGAGCTCTGATCTCGGAAGAGCGAGCTGTGATCGTGGAGATGAGGAAGGATGGGTCGCACGGGGCCTGGCCGTGAGATCTGGAGAGACCCAAAGGCCCTCAGGGGGAAACTTAGTAAGACCTGCGGATGATTACTAAGGGGGAGGGGGTGACAGAAGAAGGAAAGTCAGTACCCCAAGGGCAGAAACGGGAAGGCCAGCCAAGGGATTTCGGTGTCAGCTGAATGTGGGGGGCAGCCTGTGGATGAGTAGATGAGCTTGGTTTCGGGACTGCAGGGCCTTGGGTGCTGAGTCTGGTGTGTGGTCGGCCCCTCGGGAGCCAGGCTGGCGCTGAGCAGTCGGAAGTCACCAGCAGGTACAGGTTCACAGTCCTTCACAAAGCGCCGTGGCTGACAGCAGGCAGTGGGAGCCGAGGACACAGCCAAGGTCGGCACGTGGTGACTCTTTCAGGAGCCGGGGGCTGGGGGTGGGGCAGCTTCACCAGACAGAGGCCAAGGGCAGGAGGGAGTTCCAGGGCAGGTGGCAGAGGTGAGGGTGACAAGAACCGAGATGCCATTAGTCTTTGGTGGCTGAGAGGGCATCGGTGAGCTTCAAGGTCATTGATAAGAGCAAGGCCACCAGGGGAAACGGGAGGGGACAGAGAGCACGCGTGTGTGGTGGGGCAGAGTGGAGGGACTTCTCTTCGGGGTCAGAGAGACCTGGCGAGTCTGTAGGCAGACAGGGGCCAGCTAGTGCGGAGCTAGACTCAGAGAACCCCCAAACTGGAAGCTCTCAGTCTAACCCTCACTTAAAACGCACAGGCCCACCACAGATGTCCTGCGAAAATGCTCAGAAAGTGGCAGCGGGGGAGCGAGGCACAGGACAGTGGGGACATCTTGTCAGGGAGAAGGGGCCCCTCCTCGGACTCGTGGGAGGCGAGGTGTTGAGGGCATGGGAAAGGTGGCTGGTCACGGAGGAGCCCGGGGCAGGGGCCCAGGGCCCAGTGAAGGGCAGTGTGGAGGCCGGGGTGGGAAGGAAACGCAGGGCAGTGTGGGCCCAAAAGAGGTGACAAGGGACAAAGGCCAAGAACTGAGATTGGGGACCCTTCCAGTTCACCAGGAGGGAGGCAATCGCTCCTTACAAAGGCAGGGGGCCGCGGGAGGAGGGGTGTCTCGCCATGACTGAGAAAAGTTTCCAACCAAATGCTCAGATGGGGGAGAATGGCTTTTCCACGCCACCGAACCGGTCGCAGGCAGTCCATCCTTGCTGTCCTTCCACACATCCGATGCCTTTGCCTGCTCTTCAAACCTCCCACTGCTCCGTTCTCTGTATGTCACACACGAAGTCCTCCCGGATGAAACAAACCCTGCGGCACACGGAGATGTTTTGTGACGCAGCTGTTCTGGTGGCGGCGAGAGCTGGTGTCCATCCTGTCCTCTGAGCTCCGTGACCTTGGACGCTCCTGTTTCTCCTGCGGCCTCAGTCTCTTCCTCTCTAAAACCGGGGGCTTGAGCGAAGGACATCAGCGTTCTGTGACTCAGTGACCATAGGACAGGGGGAGCGTGGCGAGGAAGATGGAGCCACTCCACCCACCTGCTTCCTGCGTGGGAGACGAGGGCCCCTCGTCCCCTCACCAGGGCTGCATCAGGCCAGGAACGTGGGGGTGTACGGCCTGGAAGGTTTCCAGAGAGCCTGCCAACAGCGCCTCCTCCACCTGAGACCTTCCTGAAGCTTTTCAGCTAAGGTGACGTCAGGGCCACAAGATGCTGCCAGTGAGATGGGAACATCTCCCGGTGAGACAAGGCGCCTCCCGGCCAGAAACAAGACGTGGGGCCACTGGCAGGCGGCAACGTGGCCTCAGTGCTTCAGTCTCAGAAAGGAGTAAGGACCTGGAGCATGTCTGCCTTCTGGACACTTGGTGGGCTCTCCCGGTGATGGGACCAGATTGCTCACTTAGATGGATGATGTCCACAAGCCAGGGAGCGCCAGCAGTGCTGACACCGCCCGAAGTTAGGGGACAGGCTTGCGGCAGGTGCCCCTTCGAGCATCCAGAGGGACCAACCCTGCCACAGCCTTGATTTTGGAACTGTGCTAATTTGCTATGGAAGCCCCAGGAAACTGACGCAGGAGTGAGTACGTTTAGCAATGAGTGGATGATCTAAACACACGCGTGCACACACGCCCCTGGTTGCTGTACCGAGAATGGACAACCCAGGCAGGGAAAATGGAAGCAGAAAGCCAGATGAGAGGCTAATATGTGGGGAGCTGATGACGCGAGTGAGTGAACAAGGGAGGGGAAGCCCGGGGGTGGCTGAGCTGATGAGGCCGTCAGGGCCTGCGGTGTGGAGCGGGCCCCGGGCTTTTCCGAGGAACTTGCAGCTCCCCCGGGCTGGCTCAGGTGGCGGCAGGTGAGTCCAGGTAGGGGTGTGTGGAGGGCCCAGGCAGGCGGCAGGACCGAGCTACCACCTCCCGGTGCCACTAGGCGCCCAGTGCCGGGCGTGAGCGCAGGTAACACAGCCGCCTTTCTAAAGGCCCAGCTCAAATGCCACCTTTGCCCCGAAGCCTCCCCTGCTTCCTCCTGCCTCCTCACACACGCTGTTTCTGCCTTCTCGTGTTTCCAGCATCCTCAGGAGGACCCCCGCCCACTGCCCTGTTCTGTGTATTTTCACGAGCCCGCGGAGCTGCTGGTCTCACAGCCTGGCTGGGGGAAGAAGCGAGGCCCTC